AAACTCCTTTGCAGCACTTATTGCCCAAGAGGACATGGAGGAACAAAGTGAAAGCAAAGAAGATGATGATTCCTTATCAAAGATTCATGATGTTAGACAATAATACTAATAGTACTTCTTGTAGTATTGGTTATGGTAGTGTTTCATTATTAGTCAGCTTCCTAATCCTATTTGTGGTAGATGTTGTATGTTAGTTAGTTTCTATTCTCTATTCCTAGTTGTGTTAGGAGTCTCTCAGCTCCTATATATACTCTATCATGTACTTCATAATTCAATGAGCAATATTATTATTCCAATATTTCAACACATGAAAATAGCTTACTCCTCTGTATGAATGCAGTGGAAGATACTAGAGATGACAGGGAGGGACCTATACTCTATACCCATTTAGAGGGGGGAGATATAGTATTCATAGACTCCATGCTCAGACTGTTGGGGAAATTAATGATAACTTGGATGAATCGAGAGTTGTGTAAACACTTTCAGATTGAATATTTTGGTTGTTCACTCCAAAATTCAATCGGATAAAACTCGAAAGTATCTAGAACGAAATATGAGAATTGCTGTATAGAACCGAACGAAATTCGACCAAGGCCTACGGGAATTTATAAACTTGCGGCAGAGGGAGAAGACGCCTATCGCGTCTCTTTCCCATGTTACGCGATCCTTCGCGTGGAAGTTCTCCAGAAATCGGTGCTATCCAATCGGAGGTTTTCTTTTAAAGAAAATCCGAAAATTAAAATTCTAATTGAATTTTTTAACATAGCGCCTTGCCCAAAATAAAAAATTTTCGAGCTGACCTGGCATCTCGACCCCAGCCAGGGGCTCTGCCCCTTGGACCCCGCAGGGACTGCCGCCCCTTGAACCCTGCTCGGGGGCGCTGCCCCCGAACCCCCGCCAAGGGGACGCTGCCCCCTTGGAACCCCCGGTGTAATGGGTTTTTTATCGTAACAAACTCAATGAAGCGTGCACTCCGCACCACCAAACTTCTTTGATGATTATTAGGATACCATTGGTCGTAGTTTTTCCAATTACACTAAAATATATAACACAGACCACTCCAAATAGATATGTCCAGATGCTTTAGTCAGCCTTTAAAGCTCCGAAAAGAACTCAAAGGTAGAAAAACTTTCTCCCCGTCACAAATTGTAACTAGAAGTAGAGCCAAAATATTAGAAGAAGGTAGAAAGAGGACCCCTGTTGCCTGGGAGGAGCTAGAAACAGAAGATTATCGCCATGAAGAGGAAGTAATCAATTTCTTTAAGCTGTGCTGCCCTAACAAGAAAGAGAATCGAGTGAAAACCAACAGTAAGCCTCTTACCAAAAGCCAAAAAAAGAAAGCCAAGAAAAGATTAAAAAAGAGCCAGGTAGTTATAGAGGAAAAGGATGACGATGATTATTCAG